TGTTAATAGGATATTCCCTTCTTTGTCCAGAACATTGAGAATCAGGATAAGACAAGGTATATAGATCTTTTCTCTTCTGATTGTTCTGTCATAACTCATTCATCAACCAGTTTTCAAATGTGTCAATCCTTATGCAAGTGCATTTGAACTCATGTAGGAGGTTATTTCTCTTAAGTAAAGCATTTGATGATAAACCTGAAAACCGAATCTTTAGTCAGTGTTGCCATTACCAGGTCTATTGCACAATACAAAGCCACTTAAGCAGCAATAATGTGGTTTCAAACTTGGTTTATCACTTAGTTGGAGTTCAGCATATAGAATCTTTTGTAGAAATTTGAGTTCCTAAAAGTTAGTATGCCCCAAGATCTCTAGAGAAACATAAAAGTCTTCTTAAAAATTACTAGTCCACGGGCTTGCATTGTGGCACAGCTGGTAAAGCTGCTACCTGAGGCACTGGCATCTCATAAGGATGCTGGTTCATGTCCCAGCTGCTCCACTTCCAACCCAACTCCCTGCTAATGCGCCTGGGAAAGCAGCAGAAGATGGCCCAGGAACCTGGGTTCCCACCACCCACAGGGGAGACCCAGATGAAGCTCCTGGTTCCTGGTTTTGGCTGGCTCACCCCCAGCCATTGAGACCAACTAGGGAGTGAACCAGCAGATGGAAAATATCTCCCCCCCATCACTCTTTCAAATAAATAAATACATCTTTTTTAAAAAAAGATCCAAAATCAATTTTGTAAGCCCTGAGAAAAGCTGAACCTTCAGGGTGGATCCTGAGGGACAAAATGGGCCTAAAACTCAATGTGGAACCGAGCAGCCCTTTGCAGTGTAGGGATTACACCCACGCTCCGCACACTCCGCACCCTGGAAACACAGCCACAGAGGTCTTGCCCCAGCCTGCTTCCGTCTCAGCTGTTAGCACAAACAGCCTCCAGAAAGTCCTAATTAGCCATGCAGGCCTGACCAATGAACCATGAGCTGAGGTCAGCCAATCAGGATGGAGCCCACTCTCCCTCCCCAGCAGGGGGATGCTGGACAGGAAGCTTCTGCTAGAGGCAGAACTGGAACTTCCTGTAAAGCCAGCCTCTGTTTTTGTTTCGAGGAGCACACTTTCATGTTATACTGTTCCCAGTTTCCAAGCTGCTTCCTGAGATAAATTTTACCCCAAATTCTTCTCTAGGGAATTGTTGTTGACTAGTCACTGGAAAGTATAAGCCATTTCTACAGCTTGGGGAAAAGGTTAAACAGATTGGTCAAAAACTCACGCAACGCATTTCATCTTCTGATCCGTCTCAGAGATCGGCAGGCCCCACACTTAGCCACTCCTCAGTGGGTAAAAGGCCACGGAGGGACCGTGTGGTGTCTGGTTGGTCATGGGCCGGTCTTAATACAGGGATTCGGTGTCAAAAGGAACACAGACAAGGAGGGCGGTAGTGTCCTCGGGACAAACGCTACTTATTCTGTCATGGTTTGGTCACAGCTGGCTACTAGGTGACCACTGACAATCCAGTTCAGACAATCTGCATTAAGTGGCCTACTTGTGTGTGCCAGGCCCCCTGTGAGGGCCGGGCCAAGGACATAAGATGCTGCCATTGCCCTTGCGGAGTCTCGGGCGTGTGGAGTCCAAGAGCCATAAACAGATAACGTCAGTGCCATCCTTGGCTCCTGAGGTTCAAGAGCAGGTGCTGTTGGTTCCCTCTTGAAAATATCTTTAGTTCTCACCTCTCCTCTGCCCCATCCTTGTCCAAAGCTGCTATCTATCCTCTCTCACCTGGATGGCAGCCCTGGCCTCCTACCATGTCTTTCTGATTCCATCCTTGCCCACTTCAAGTTCTTCTCAACACAGAGGTAAGGTCACGACATCCAGTCCTCTGGCTCCCCATCCACTCAGACTAAAGCCCAAGTCCTCAAATGGCCATAATGCCCAGCAAGTTGTGGCCCTGTTCAGTCTCATCCCTGCTCACTGTGCTACAGTCACACGGATCTAAAAGAACCGCAGGTGCACACCTGCCCCAGGAGCCTGTGCTTGCTGTATCCTCAGGCTTCTCTCTGTCACATGTCACCTTGCCAAGAACCCGCCATGACCATCCTACAGAAAATTACACCTTCTCCCCATTCCCTAACCCCCGCTGCCCTCCAGGCACATCCATCTCCTGCCTGTTCTACTGCTTTGTGTTTCTTCTGTAACACTCATCACCCTCTATAATACAGTTTATTATTTATTGTGTTTATTGTGAGTCTCTCTTGTGTCTACTTTGCTTACTTCTGAATCCCCAGTGCCTATGATAGTGCCTAGGGCACAGTAGGAGTTTAATACAAATCTGTAGAATGAATGAATGAATGGCTCTGCTGGTAAGGTGGTGACATGCATGAGGCACCATCAGAGCTCGGGCAGTGAGTGCTGTGACTCACCCAGGAAGAAGGCTATGGAAGACTTTCTAGGGCAAGATGATGTCACAGTCTTGCAGGAGTAGCAAGAACCAGGCAGAGAAAGGGGGAGGGGGGATGATTAAGCCACATTAAGAAGTCAGGAAGTAGTGTTTAGCATTGTTAGTTGGAGGTGGGGGAAAGCCCCTCAGAGCTGGGGCTTTATGCCAGGAGAAACAATGGGAATGTGCTGGGGATTTCTAGATGCAAATATATTCATTGTGCAGCTAATGGTTATTAAATTGATACAAGTCCAGCTAACAGCCAGGGCCAACATTCTCACAAGGCAATGTTTAATGTATATCCAACTAGAAAACCACCTGCTCATTGTTCTGTCTCCTGGGTAGCTTTGGTCTAATTTCCTTTCTCACACATTCAGTCAACTACAAGCGTCCACTGGTGCTGAGGCCACAGGAACCTGGACCTTTCCTATAGCTGGGAAACCGCCTCCCGCCTCTGGTGCCTTTCCCACATTCCTCTAGTCCTGAGCGCAGGTCTACTCAGGATCTCAACCCTCGTCATGCATGATATGGAAAGAAGCCAACACAGTGAGAAGCCCAACTCCTTCCTGAATTGAGATCCTGTCGTGGACTCTGATTCTCTCCTTGGCACCAGCTTTTCTCCTATCCATGCCATTTACAAGTTGCCAAGGTCAAGGGCACTTTCTAAGCCATTGTCAACAGATATAGAAAATAGTATGCACAATGCCAACACCATTAAGAAGTTGCTGGAAATAATATGTCAGTTAAAAGCCTAAATAGATCATCCTCTTGGTGTTCACTAAAACAGGAACCCACCAACTTCTCAGTAAAATGTGGCCCTCATTATTCACACCGAGGTTCAGTAAGGCAAGTGGCTCAGGACTCGACGGATCAGGCCTCGTGTGGCAGCGGATTAAGCTGCCACTTGGGACACCTGCCAGCTCCAGTCCTGGGTAACTCTGCTTCCCATCCAGCTTCCTGCTAATACATTCCGAAAGGCAGCAGATGTTGGCTCTATCAGGGGTGGCGACTTTGTTCTGCCAAGGGCCATGTAAACTGGCCACCTTAGGGCCAGTGTTGTGGTGGAGTGGGCTCAGCTGCCGCCTCCAACACCAGCATCCCATATGGGCAGTGGTTCTAGACCCAGCTGCTCCTCTTCTAGTCCAGATCCCAGCTAACATGCTGCTGAACACAGAAGATGGTCCAAGTGCTTGTGCCCCTGCACCCACCTTGGAGACCCAGAGGAAGCTCCAGGCTCCTGGCTTTGGCTTGGCACAGCCCTAGCTATTGCAACCATTAGGGGAGTGAACCAGTGGATGGAAGCTCTCTCCCTCTGTAACTCTGCCTTTCAAATAAATAAAAGGTCTTTTTAAAAATTATAATTAGTCTGCTATAGATTTACAGAGCTTTGAGTCCCACCTGTGGCTGCCTTGACAGGACCAGACCAAATGATTCTCTGGGCCTTAAGCAGCCTATCAGCAGGCTATTCCTCATCTTTGCTCTGGTGCTTGGGCCCCTGCCACCCACACAAGCGACCTGAACAGAACCCAGAGCTCCTGGCTTGGGCCTGGCCCAGCTCTGGCTGTTTTAGGTATCTGTGGAGTGAACCAGCAGACGGAACACATCTTTCCACCTCTGCACCCTCTCCCTCTCCTCTTCCCTCACCCTCTGCCTTTCAAGTAGATGCAAAGAAATAGAAAGAGAACTCCTTATGTGGTAGATGCGACAACCCTACAAGTAAGGAAGGCTTTACCAGCAAATTCCTTGCTTGGGACTCGCAACGTCTCATAGGAATGAAGAGATAGAGGAGCCAGATCCAGTTCAGTACACACTGCTGACCAGAACCAGGAGAAATACATCGAGTCAAGGTCAAACAGCATTCAGGATGAGCTCACCAAAGGCAACTCCCCCTACACTGCCACTGTCAATACTGTCTTAGGGTCACTGGGACAGGGCTGCGTGACGGGGACGTGAAGACAGCCAGGACCAGCACTGCAGTAAGAGCTCGGGTCAATCAAGTGGTTCACGCACAGCCCCTCCCTCTGCCCTCGCAGGGGTTAGCTTCCAGCAGCCCCCATTTTCCAGGAGAAGTAACCGCGGTCAGCCGCTTTGTGGCAGCCAGGAAATGGCAGGGGTGACACAGGACGCTGCCTCTGAGACTCCATCGCACCAAGGGCAGGACTGAATGAGCAGCTGACGGGCAGCTCCCGCCCACGTGTTCCTGTCCGCCAAGGACGGGCCTCCCTGTTTCCATGTGACTTTGACCGACACGGAGGTCACAGGCTTGGTGCAGCTGGGACACCTGGTGTTGACTGGACTTTCCCCAACCCTGTTCCCCAAGGACAGGTGAACAGCCTTCTCTCTCAGACACAACACACACGACCTGACCCGGACAGACAGACAGAGAGAGAGGCCAAACCGACTCAAGCTTAGCCAGTGTTTCCTGAGTTGTGGCTTTCCCACACATTTGTTTAGTCTGCAAATATTGCTCCAGACTTACCCTGCACCAGACACTGTTTGGGGTCCTGGGAATGCAGTGGGAAAGCTGCACCCTACCCCCTCCCACCCGGGGGAGATGACCGCGACTCACCATGGTGCCTGTGTATTCTGCCAGCTTAGCCTCGGAAATGGCCTTTCTGTGGTGGCGGAAGAGGTCCCGGAGGAAGTTCTGCGGCACCAAGAGAAGAATCATATTTACAGAGCGAGCGCACACACCGCGGACGGCCTAGAAGCCTTACTGTAAGGGGATGGCTCTCTTATCTCAAGGAGCACATAAAATGCTTTTAGCAAGCAGTAAGTCCAAGATGGGAGGGCTGCCACTGCTAGTGGGGAGCTCACGGAACCCAGAGAACAGTTCCAGTCCCGAAAAAGGCTCAGAATTGCTCAGTTATGCCACTCTCCCGCAGAAAGCAATAGGACCTGCAGTTTTCAAACCTTTTTAGACAGAAATAGATTTTCATCTGAGAGTGACAAATTCAAATCCATATTTCTTGGGCCCACAGAAACCAAACTCATGCAACAGATTCCCAGTGAGGAAGAACCCACCCATTCCCCCCGGGGACAGTTCCAAGGACACATACGCAAAGTTCTGCCGCTGATATGAAGCCACTGCTGTCAGCATCATACTTGCGCCAAATCTGAAATATATAAAAGCCGGCCATGTGTCTATTTCAGATAACTTGGAATTGACCTCTGCTGGTGTCCACTAGGGCTCAGCATCTGAACATGGTGCTTACCTGGACACAAATAAGCCTTTCGATGGAAGTTTTCGGCCTTCTTTGGTGACAGTAATTGTTTGGGCAGAACTTACTAGACATAAATCCCTGCATTCACTTGGAAGCACTGAGAAGAACCCCAGGGTTTCACTGAGGGGCTCTTTTGCAAAAACTCACAAGGGAAAGACAGCAAGGGATGGACTTCAATTTGGGTTAATATGGCAATCTAAGAAACTCTGTACTAAATACCTAAAAATATAGCATACTAAAAAAAAATAGGTCACAAAAGGTATAGCTGAACCAGCAAGAAACTGAGAGAACTTCTAAGAGATTCAATAAAAAATGAAAGCAAAAAACCCAGAGAACTAGATGGGGCTGAAACCAAAGCCCATCCAGATGTTTCTGCTGATCCCTGGATACATGGCACGCAACTCTACTGGAAAATCACTCATGTGGTAGACAGGAACAAGTCCTGGAACCTGCACAAGGCAGGAAATCAGCCCGAGGAGCCTGCTTAAAACTAAAATTCCAGATGGCAATGCCTAAATGAATGGGTGAACTAAAAACATTAAAATTACACATAGAGGAACCAGTGCAGCAGGTTAAGCTGCCATCTGCAACACTGGTGTCCCTTATAGGCATCAGTCCAAGTCCCGGCTGCCCTGCTTCTGATCCAGCTCCCTACTAATGTGCCTGGGAAATCAGTGGAAGATGGCCCAAATGCTTGGGTCTCTGTACCCATGTGGGAAACCCAGAGGAAGCTCCTGGCTCCTGACTTTGGCTTGGCCCAGCCCTGGCTGTTGCAGCCATTTGGGGAGTGAACCAGTGGGTAGAAGACCTCTGTGTGTGTGTGTGTGTGTCTCTCCCTCTGTCTCTCTGTAACTGTGCCTTTCAAATAAGTAAATAAATAAATAAATCATTTTTTAAAAATGACACTGTAGAAAAGTTCCCTAAGGAATTATGCCTGTGTGCCCTCGGATCTGGGTGGGAGTGTGAAACCCCTCTGATAATTGCCAATGACGAGCTCTCTCTCTCTCCTCAGTTAGAGGCCAGCAACCAACCAGCCACAGGCACAGTTACTTAACTGGAATCCTGCGAGGGTTAGAACCTTTGAGGAAACCATTTAAATGCTTCCTTCCATAAATGCTGTCTTCCTAACCACCTCTGATGATTCCATGGGCCAACACACATCAACTAGCAAGCTCCCTAACTGCTGTTCAAAATGAAAAGCATACTAAATATATTTTGTAGCTGGCAGAATCCCCCGGGATCCTAAATGCACTGTCTATGTTACCAACTGCAGGGACCTTAATTCTAGACCACAGATCAGGACCCTGGCGAGAGCCCCTGCAGGGATGACTGGCAACAGGACACTGAGGCTGACATTTAGTGAGAAGAGTTCAGAAACCCCTCCTGCCGCGCGTGTCATGTACGTCTGAGCGCATTTATGCTTACAGAGTCAGGGAGTTAAAGGTGATTTATATCCTCTCATTGTGGGAGTATAAGAAAACTGAGGATTTCAAATAATAATAAAAACGCAGACACTTTTTCATATCATTCGGGAAGCATTGTCTGGCTACGTTATCTTCCAGTCTTGATGCGGCTGCACCATTAGAGAGGCAAGTGTTTTTATGGGAATATTCAGCTTGTCTATCTTTTTAAAAAAGGAAGGCAGAGTAAAGGGATTGTCTGACAAATAGGAGCGGAGAGTATTACCAACAGAATGCTCTGGGAAGAAAGAAATCTAAGAAACAGAAAGGAAAGGCAAACAAAGACAATGGTAAATGCAGGCAAACTGAAGCAGATTGTGACTGCACAGGATTTGTGGAGTCAATAACAAGATTGAACTAATATCCTGGGGAACAAGGGCATGCGATCTATCTCAAAATAGATAGGACATAATGTTAGACTCTCTTACAATAGATAGGATACAATGTTAGACTCTTACAATATGTAGGATACAATGTTAGACTCTTATAATATGTAGGATATAATGTTAGGGTCTCTTACAATATGTAGGTTATAATGTTAGACTCTTACAATATGTAGGTTATAATGGGTCTTAAAAATTCTCATTTTTTAAAAAAATGACTAAAAATATCCAGTGATTAAAAATGACTAAAAATATCCAGTGACTTTTTAAAAAAAATAGGTAGAGCTGGCGCCACGGCTCACTAGGTTAATCCTCCGCCTTGCAGCGCCAGCACACCGAGTTCTAGTCCCGGTTGCCCCTCTTCCAGGCCAGCTCTCTGCTGTGGCCAGGGAGTGCAGTGGAGGATGGCCCAAGTGCTTGGACCCTGCACCCGCATGGGAGACCAGGAAAAGCACCTGGCTCCTGCCATCGGATCAGCATGGTGTGCCGGCTGCAGCGCGCCGGCCGCGGTGGCCATTGGAGGGTGAACCAACGGCAAAAGAAGACCTTTCTCTCTGTCTCTCTCTCTCACTGTCCACTCTGCCTGTCAAAAAAAATGGGTAGAGAAGGGGAAAAATTGCCTTTATTCAATATACTATAGACTGATAGATTCAAAGGGAGAGAATTAAAGTACCGGAATATGGAATATGTATTTTTAAAACTGATAGGAAAACTTCTTAGTGGTATTTCCTTTTCCTACTTTTTAATATTACTCAAGACTACACAGTTTAATTCATTTTTGGATTATAAATGTGAATTATGTTCATTGTACAAAATAAATGAAAAAAAGAAATTTATAATTTCTAGAAACTCCTGCCCCAGAGAAAGTTACCTATCGCTTCTATGTGTACCTTTCCACTAAAACTGCAGTGGAGGTCATTGTATTTTTGATACGCATGTTGGTCTACTTACTATTTTCATTACAACTTTTCTGTGAGCATTTTAAAACACAAAATCATTTTTTAAAATATCATTTAAAATAACTGCTAAATAATTATAATATTGATTCTACACAGTTGGAAAATACAAAAGCATAAACAATATGACAACCATAAAATCCTAGCACTTGGGGCCAGCATTGTGGCACAACAGATAAAGCCACCACCTACGATGTTGGCACCCCATGTGGGCACCAGTTTGAGTCCAGGCTGTTCCACTTCAGATCCAGCTCCGAGCTAATGTGCCTGGGAAAGCAGCAGAAGATGGCCCCAGTACTTGGGTCCCTGCACCCTCATGGCAAACTCAGATGAAGCTCCTGGCTCCTGGCTTTGGCCTGGCCCAGCCCCGGCCATTGCAGCCATTTGGGGAGTGAACCAGTGGATGGAACATCTCTACCTCTCCCTCTCTCTGTAACTCTGCCTTTCAAATAAATAATCTTAAAAAAAAAATCCTACCACCTACAGACAACCCATATTTGTCTTGTATGCATTAACTATATAATTTTTTAAACAAAATTAAGATCACACTGCATATACAACTGTATTTCTTAACACTATACTGCATTTCTTCCAGCTCATTAAATCTTGCCTAACAACCCAATCTTTAGTTCCACCATAGGATTTTTCTCAAATGAATCTCCATGAACTGGAACAGTGCCTGGCAGATTGCTGTGTGCTTAAGTACTTGTGGGGGAATGAGTCCCATTAAAGTATCACAATTTTATCCAGCTTTCCCCTCACTGCTAGACATTTGTGCTATTTTCAGTGTGAACTACAGGTAATAGTATAACATTTAATGAACATCATGTACAGAAAACTTTGATCTACAACTCTGATTATATCGATGAGACAGATGTCTGGAGAAGTAAAACTATTAAATCAAAGGGTAAAGCATATTTTTTTTAAAAAAATTAACTACGGATAATTAAATTTTAAGGAAGCCTGATTTAATTCTCCAATATCACTTCCAATAAAACTATTCCACAGAGCACACCTACACACTGAGCAACAGTGTGATCTCCGGGTTTCCTTGCTGGCACATGTTTTAGTGGATTCCCTTACAGATCTCCATCACATCATTTCAAAAAAAAATTTCAGCCCTTTGATTTTGCTTTTCTTGGGCTAATGGTGCATATTTGTGGTCCATTCAAATGTCTTCTGTGGGTTACCTATATATGTGCTGGCCCGGTTTTATATGAAGTTAAACTACACAGTGCTAACGGATACTAAGTTATCATCTCCTAAATGGGGAGGTAGCAACTGTTGAAGCAGCAGGGCCCTGGGTACAGTGGTGCACTGAATCTGCTGCTGTGGCCTCAGAGAAACCCTGGTCCTTTTTGCCAACAGGGTGGTAACAGGGAATGGGAGGGGTGTGGCCCAGTGGGAAAGCGACTAGAGGGGCCACTGATTCTGCCTTTAGATTCTGTTTAAGCCCAATGGTAGCAAACAGATGGCTGAATCAGCACTCTAATTAAAGTTATATTCTGACTGTACTGGGCCTTCAAAACTACAATTAGTTGCCAACATTGAAAACAGGTAGTTTCACACAAGTCCAGATTTCTAGACAACGATGTCAAAAGACAACACTTTGCAGGATTGCCACAAGGGTATAGGCTTTAGACCGGGACAGGCTTTTCCAGGCTCACAGCCCCCTGGCTTGGTCCCCTCCAGCCTACCATTCCTCTCCAGCGCACCTGCCTGGCCCTGACTGTGCTTCCTGCCCAGGCTAAAGAGGTCTGAGAGCTCAGAAGCAGTCAAGGCCAGCACAGAGAGAGCACATGGGGTTCAGGGTCACAGACCCAGCTCACCACTAAGGGCTTTTCTGCTTGGTCCTGCCCTCCCTGCATGGCCCTCCCCTGGGACTGGTGGTAGGTATCTGGGGCAGCCGCAGAAGGTGGCTAGCACCCAGCCTCCTCTCAAACTGCCTTCTCCATAGACAAACAGCCAAACACTCACCTGCATAAACTCCACGCTGCTGTCCAAGGGAGTTTCCCAACGAAAGAGCAGAAGGAAGTTTTCATCCTCGGACAAGAACATTCTGGCAAGCTAAAGGAACAGAAGAAGAGCAGTCTGGGACACTGGCCAGTGTCCATTTGTGAAATGCTCCTTGGGTGAGCAGCATGGACGTACTATAGGGCAGAGGGGATACAGGGCAGAAAGGCTTGGATCTCTCAGAGTAGAGAGCCCAACTACAGGTTCTGTGCCCTCGACTGTCATTCACGATTCACCAATTCTTTCAAAAAGTGTCACACTCCTACAAGGACATCTGCCCTCCAGGAGTGTACAATCCAAAATAAAAATAACAGTAATAGTAAGTGTGTTTAGCACTTACTGTGCTACAGGCACTACTCATAAAACAAGAGCATTTAATAGTAAATTAACTTAAATCTATACTTAGAGAAATTAAAAGTAGCAAATAGTACCAGACATTTCTCTGAATGCTTACATAGTGCTAACTCATTTAATGCAAACAACCACTTGTAAGACACACAACACCACAGTTATTACTTTCTAATTACAGAATCTGGGTTATACAGAGATAAAGAACTTGTCAAAGGTATGTAGTTAGGACATGGCGGAATCAAATGCATACTTTTAATCACTATGCTTTGCTGGTGAGATGAATATACAAAGAATCCCAGTGCCGTGTGCAAAAGAAGAAATGACCCCTGTCTGGCTAGATCCTTCATTGTTAGCTGTAATGTACAATCGTGTACATTGTTAGTGTCTACCTGACACTACAATAGTTGGTTCAAATATGACAAATTCCACCATCTAGCTTTCTCTATAAGTACCAATATTTTCACTCACTCTGTGAACATGGACAATATATTCTTCCCTACAGATGATAGGTTTTTGCACACAGACAGGTATGGCAATGTACACTGTCTTCTTTTAAATTTTCCCCTAAACCATGTCCATTTCTTCTATAAATGAGAGGTTGTCCAGCACCTTGTATAACACCAGAGTGAATCCAGGGAAAATACTCTTGGTGGGTTTAGCACGAATAGCTCACACTCCCATTCCCTTCTCTAACTGGGACCTGTCTGGTAATGGTATCTATCAGCTATGGATGCCCTGCTGTGGGGCCGGCACTGGCAATGTGCATTGCATTTATCATCTCATTAAATTCTCACCCCAATCCTCCTGGGTAAGTAGAACCTCCCCTGTGTGTAAGTGACAGGCTCTAGACTGGAAGGAAATTCCTTCCCTGTTGCTTAGCAATTATTTGATCTTGGACAGTGTAACTGTCACCTCTGTGCTGCCATTTTCTCATTTGCAAAATGGGGACAGTAATACTGATGCCCTTGTGCTTGCATGAAGACAGCAGTACAATGAGCTGATGCTATAAACCGCAGCCAAGAACCTGGCCCGTACTAAACAGCCAACAGATGGCGACTGCCATGTTGGTGAAGATGGTGAAATGGAGGCTCGGAGGCCAAGGAGTCCTAACCTTTCCATCACGGTGACTTTATACTTTCTCCTCCAGCCCTTACAAAGTCATCTAGAACTGGGCTCTGCTTTCCAGGACCAAGCAGTGTTTTTTCCATATAGAGGAGGCATGGGCTAACCAACACAATTAAAATGTAGTTCATTTATACTAGGCCCTTAGACAAATCAAATACACAGATAATCCCCAAACCTCACTTTAGCACTCAGCTGTGACCTCTTCCCCAATTTGCTTTTGGATCCAACATCTGCAACATGTCGGGTGGGCTGATTTTTAAATGGAGTAAGTAACACAGACCATGGTACAGCAGGGGAATCAAGGGAAACACAGCCTTACTGCTCCTCAGACTCACCAGCCTTTGCGCTTTAGGGAGCCCTGGGAATGACTCCGCCCCACACCACCCGCCTCCCTACAAACAAGAGCCCAGTGACACTCATCTGCGGGACTCCAGGACAAAGTGATGGCCACCTGTTCAAGCATCTCTGCCTACTATTAGTAAGATAAGAACACAGTTCTCAGTTACCATGTTTCAACCTTCCTTAACTGCATCACCAAATGCTTATAAGGCACCACTATGTGCTGTGCTCTGTTCTAGGGCCTGGGAGGAGATGACAGTGAACATGTAGTTGTGCAGACTTTTCTGGGGCATCACCTTGATTCTTACACTTAACTTTTCCATTGACAGTGTTTCCATCCATCATAATGTAAAGGTCTGGTTACCTACACACTTTTTGCCTTTGAGCAAAAGTGTCAAACACAGCTACAGTCATAAACCTACAATTTGATTTGTTTGCTTCCTGCAAAGACAGGCTCCTGGAAAATATGTCTGCTTTTTATAAAAACAGATTATCCTGCCCTATTAACATAATTGGGGTTTAAACTCACTTATCCTAAGTTCTTCCTTATACCAAGGTTCCATTTGAACAGGAAACTATGTGAAGAGATAGACAGATGTTGGCTCGAGTAACGAAAGGCCTCTGCATCTCAATTCCCAAGTATAGCGTACGTGAAAGTATCAACTGACCTCAATAAAATGATGAACAAATCACTCGCTCTTTGTTACAGAGAAATGATTGCTTCAAAAATGCTATCTAGGCCAAAAGCCTTGCAGAAAATGCTCATTTCCCATTTAATACAAGATTGCCACTGTCTCTCAAAGGAAATTACAACCCGAGAATGTCAAGTCAGGAAAGAAACAGAGGAGAAAGCCCCAGCCCTGAGGTACCTCTTTCATCTGCACGCGGCCATCCTGACAGCCGTCTCGCGCGCCCATAAACTGCTGCTTCGCCTGCTGCACACTTTCTTCCAGGAGCGCACCCTGCACAGGCCAACACAATCACGTTAAAGCCACTGTGCTCCCCAGAAGAGCTCAAAGCAAACAGCTGAATAGTTGCATTACTCTTTCCTGGATAGTAGGTTCCTTGGCCATTTGAAATGATAGTACCTTGTAGAAGAGAGGCAGTAAGAGATTTCTTTCTGGAGCAACCTACCATTAGAAGACTCTAGACTAGGTAAAAATGCATGGTTAGTGACTTACTAAACAGCAGATGAAAAGCAGCTCAGAGACTAGTTCTTTTGGAAGAAGGAATTCCAACATTATTATTTAATTGGTGTTGACAGAAGAATGCATTAAAAATTAATATTCATATGTTCTTCCCCAAAACTCAAGAAATTTTAATTTTTTTAAATGGAAACTCTAGTTCTTGTGGACCCCTAATTTACTGTAGCTCATTCTCTTAACCATCCCCTTGTATTATCTGAGGAAAAAATAGTTAACACAATGAAATGCTTAAAAAGTGAAACAAAGTAATAAATTAATTGTTGAGTTACCAAAGATGTCACATTCTACTTTCACAAACACGTGCAATTGTCTTCTTTAGCAGATTTCAGGGTTAGTACAGGAAAGGTCATATATATGTGTGTGTGTGTGTGTGTACATATGTATACACATACATTTATATAAGGTCATTCATACACACACACACACACATATGACTGATGATGATTGTATTCTGATGTACAGGTTGAAAGGCACAGATATTTCCAAATAGCACCCCATTCCACCAGACTTTTTAAACTCATGCTAAATTCATTCTAATACCTTGTCCCTGGTCCCAAGCACTCTCTGTGAGCTAGAAGGGCTGAGAAGAGGTGGCCTTGCTGACTTACAAGTATCCTGCTGGTGCTGGGGGAGGGGTGACTCTGACCTTATGCATGACTCTCCGGATGCATCATCCGAGTGGACTTAGACTGAGCCACTTCTTCTTCCCTTGTCATGTGTAGTTCTCAAGGTTAACTAAGGAATATCCTAGGAATCTAACATCCTGAGGTAACGAAGAACATGCCAGAACAACCTGGGCTACTTTCCAGTTGTTTCTAGAACACGATCTTTTTTTAGAAAAATTTTATTTAATAAATATAAATTTCAAAAGAGCAGTTTTTCCCCCCATAACCACCCTCCCACCCATAAACCATCCCATCTCCTACTCCTTCTCCCATCTCATTCTTCATTAAGATTCATTTTTAATTATCTTTATATACAGAAGATCAACTTAGTATATACCAAGTAAAGATTTCAACATATTGTACCCACACAGACACACAAAATATAAAGTACTGTTTGAAGACTATTTTTACCGTTAATTTTCATAGTACAACACATTAAGGACAGAGATCCTACATGGGGAGCAGGTGCACAGTGACTCCTGTTGTTGATTTGACAATTGACACTCTTATTTATGACGTCAGTAATCACCCAAGGCTCTTGTCATGAGCTGCCAAGGCAATGGAGGAAGCCTTTTGAGTTCACAAACTCTAACCACAGACAAGGCCATAATCAAAGTGGAAGTAGAACATGATCCTTAAAACATTTTAGTTCACCATGACATGTGCCCCTGAGTTAAAACTCCAGACAGATGGCTTTCTACCGAGCCCCTTCCAAGGGTCAGACAATTGTGGTCCCTGATATGATAATCCTGGTCCTTGTCCTGTATCACAGGCTGGAAGAAGACTTCACCCTCTTTCCCTGGAGGCATTGTCCTCAAGGACTTCCATGAAAGTGCAGAGAGGTGGAAAGGGAAGAATGGGAGAGGATCAATAGCTCCCTGAACCTAGCTCCTAAGAGCAAGGCAGGGTAGATGAACAACCATGTTTGGAATGTCAGGCAGCAGATGAGCATTTCAGCCAGGACTTTTAACAATGTTACCCCACAGAATCTTCACTACAGCCCTGGGAGATAGGAGCAATCTGCTATCTATGTGGTCCCGCCTCTTGCATGAAAATTCTCCTTTACATTTTCCCACTACTAGTTGTGTAACTGTGTCAGTTTTGTTTTTAGTCTGACCTGGATGGACTGTCAGCTGAGCCCTTTTCTCCATAGGTGGTCATCCTTTGTCTGACCTGTTCATTACTGAATGTTGTCCAGGGAGTAGAAAGTCTAGTAGGAACCTAGAATGGAGACCCTCTACCTTCTGGATGCGGACCTATCCTATTCACAATCACTGTATCTACTGCTGCTCTGTCACTTCAAGGATATGTTTCCTTCAGATCAGTCTTGGCGATCTGGAAGCAAATGAGTGAAGAAGACAGAATCAAGGGACACTAGGCATCGTTTTCTAAGGATCAGACACTGTTCTTCCATTTGCCCACAAGGAAACTGGCCAGAAGGGTGAATCACCACACAGCTGGACATTGACAGAACATGACTAACACTAGAACTTTTGCTATCTGATTCCGTGCGCTTCCCACCACAGCTGGCTGTTGCTTCATGTGAGGCAGACAACATTCAGCAGAGTTAATAAAGACCGACACTTGTGGTTTCCAGTAAGTAATGGTTCAAACACTATGTAAGGAGAACTTGGTGACTTTCTTCAGAATTTATTCATGATAGGTTCTGGCAGGTAGATGACAGGATGCTTTAAATATTATAAAACTATGAAAGATTGGAAGACAATTACTGGAGAACCAAAGACCATCCTGGTCACCAATAGCAACTTTACATGGGGCAAGCTCCAGAGAATCCCTGCAAGGTCCTGGCTGCTGACTCTGGTCCTGTCTCCCTAACTAATTACAGGAGGAAAGAGTACAGTAAATATTTGATGTTGGGTTCTAATAATGAGGTGGGATATATGCTCCGAGCTAATCTGACTATTGGGTCTCTGAATACTATCTGATTTTTCCATACTTCCACGATTGGTGTGAATATCAGAAATATAGGGTATTGCCAATTTCATGTCAGCCAATAGTTTTGTCTCTTCCCTGTCCAATCACACACAAATTTTGCCAGCCAGTGTAACAACGGAACAGTACCTCCTTTTTATTCACTCATTACCTTCTGCAGGAGGGGATTAGACCACAATAAATGGATTAAGTGTATGCAATGCAGAGAGCCGATTGACTTAATGGCTTGTAACATCCCCAAGTGGATACTAAGAAGTAAGGAATGAGTTTTATTTGGAACAAACCACAGTGAAGGTGTAAAAAGGGAATGACAATTTTTATAAATAGGGAGTAAAAATGAGACAAACGTATAGCTATTTAAAATGAGGGATGAGCAAACCCGAACCACCAGCACTGGTGACTGAGACGATATATTAATCACATGGTTTGTGTATTCTGGCCACACCAAGGCCATCTGCTGCACTGATGTATTTAGAAATGTTGGGTGATTAAAGTAAGAGGACTTGAGACAGATTGACTCTGCAAATACATCAACCAAATGCATTCATTTGATGATTATAAACAGAATAGTCAAGAGCCTTGTTAAAAAGAAAAATGGCTGCCTTCCTAAGTATACACACACCAAATGAAATGTATGGTTTGGAATAAAACCCTGAAGTGAAGACATGGAAAATGAGGCCTGGATCCCATGTCTGAGACTAGGCAAGTGTCACAGGTGCTGGAGTGACAGTCTGTTGTCTATGGTTTCTCTCAGAGAGCCTCCTCACTGTGAGATGTGACTTACAGCCTCCTCCAAGGGCAACCCTTGCTTGGAAAAGTAGCTCTCACAAGTTCAAAATCCCACTGAAATACGTGTTTTTTAGATCTTAAATTCTTTCCTGTGTCTAAGAAAGTAGCCTCTAAGTATCCCGTGTGGGATAAACTGCTGGTGGAATTGAAGTGAAGGGAGTCCAGAGCAAACGATGGGAAAACTAAGGACTCACAAAGTCATCTCATCCCCATAAGAACACACATACTGTGAAAGTGTCTACAACTGAAAAGTACTTTTTACTTGTGTCATCTCGTTGGCTTTCATTGTGAAACAGCAGAGAAACACATAATCATCTCCACTTTATGAATAAGAAAATTGAAACCCAGGGAGTTTAAATGCCATGCTGATGCCACACAGATACAGGTGCAGAGCGAGGACATAAGCATTGCATTTCTGTCTCTGCACAGGGTTGCCCTCCCCTGCAAATTTCAACTTGAGCTTTTAGATTAAGAACAATGCCAGGGTATCAATTGTTTCCTTTACTCTAGAACACAGTATCTGTTGAAGGAATAAATGATTCTTTATGGTGGGTTAGGCATTCCTAAAGTAGGTAACTGACTTGGGCCAAGCTGATGGAAAATTAGATTTCAAAGTAGACAAATGTGAAGCTAAAGTGGTGGTGGCCAGGTTGCACATGCCACCTTCAGTTTGAGGGTACTGAGCCTGGACTTTTGTCATCTCAGACTCTAACCCCAAAGTCTGTGACTCTCCCTGCACCCACCATGAAAGAGCCCATTGCTCCCTCTGTTGTGGCCAGAGACTCCAGGGCTCTTAAATCACCCAAGCATGGAACAAGGTTCAGGACATGGTACCACCCGTACATGGGCTGGCTTAATCTGGAGGCCAGTTCTCAGCACGTACAAAGAAAAGGGTTGGGAAGTCATGGCAACAGTGGCTGGTTGTTCCATTGAGTTGGCCCCCTCAGTGGCTAGAAGGAGCTGGTAATTGCAAGCAGGCTGATTGCTCTCTGGCATGGAGCTGACTGCTGTCAGAAATTCAGAATTCCTTCTTTTGAGGTCTCTGTGGCCTATTAATCACTGATGGAGATTAAAGCTACTCAGGCCTCTCAAGAACTGCTTAGCTGTCCTAAAGCCCAGCCCAGGGCTGCAAGCCTGAGAGGAACTCCCTGCTGCCAGCGTCTGCACCTGCTGAGCATCACCCAGCAGGCATCACAGGCCAATGATTTTCCTAAGGTCTACTCACTGCTCATCAGGCAAAAGGCCCAGAATTAGAGTTTCCTTGATTGTCACTGTCCAGGTAGCTTGCAGTGCCCAGAGAAGGGCCCTGGAACCATCCTCCCCAGAGGCATGCCTCAGCATTGGGAATGGGCACCAGCACCATTAAAAAAATTTTTTTAAATGTACTTAAATACTCATGGGATGGGACCCAGGGGTCTGCATTCTAACAAATGTGCATTTCCACTGTGCATTCTTCGGCACAACAAAGCTTGATTTGCACCAGTCTAAGAAACCCGAAGATCCCAGCCCTCTTTCCAGCCACAGGATACCTACGGTGAGCACAGCTCTGCAACTGTGGCCCAGTCACTGTCGGCTTTGGGTCCCCGTGTGAGAGGGTTAGCACCAGAGGCCATATCTGAGAGAGGGCTGGAGATGAGGGCAGGTGGCAGCAAGAAAGAACATGCCCCTTCCCCTCACTAACGGCAACACGGCTCACAGTGTCCTTGCCTGGGAGCGGGCCCTTGTGTTTCAGTAGCCACTCTCTCCCGTGCCCGGAAATAAGACACAATAAACTTCCAGAGGAAGCAATTTTTCTCCTCCTCTTCTGGAAGTCACCAAAACAACGAACCCTGGGAAAGAATGTGAAGGTGCAAGTCTCCGCGCTTTCACATTAGGAGGTGACCACCCAGCTTATTCCAAGCTTTGAATGACTTTCCCTTCCTCATTTTACTTTCCTCAAATACCCTTGTCCATGGCTGACAAAAATGGCATCCAACTCACAGGTGCCTGGGCTGTCATTCGCAGGCCCAAGTGGGAGACAGTGGGCAAAGGTGGGAGTTCTACCACAGGCTGCTGGTCTTTGATACTGGGTGGCAAGATTGAAACAGAAGCCTCATGTAGGGGAGGCTGCCTCAGCTCCACTTTGTAGCTGATGCAAGTGCAGAAATGAAGAATAAAAGGAAGAATATGCAAAGGTCTGGCCCAAGGAAAGAAGGGACTCGTGTCTTCACCCTTCTCCTGCCACTCCCTCCAACTCACAGGCTGTACATGGCAGGGTGAAGGTAGGGAGGCAGACAGAGAAGGATCTATATAGAGAAATGCAACACCCACAAAGATCCAGGGGACTGGGGCTGGGAGCTCCTAATAAGAGAAAAGAATTAAAGGTCAAAAAGAGATAGGACAGGGAGATAGGAAATAGAGAGGATAAAAGAAATCAAAGACCCAAGGAGAGGCAGAACAAGAGAGCTTTGAGAAACAGAACAGAGATAGGAGAGGGAAACAGAGATAGATGGAGAAAGAGGTAAGAAAATGATCAGAGAAAGACGAGACACAGAAGGTTCAGAAAGGCAAGAGACAATGAGAAGTAAAAGCTGTAGAACACAGAGGAAAAGACAAGAGTGGAAAAATGAGTGAGAAAAACGTAAAAACAAAATGTGAGAGGCAGGTTACAGAGAGAACAAGAGCTGGTTTCTTGGCCCCCACACCTTGCCTGTGCCTCCTCCATTCTAACCACTCCCTGTGGCTCTCACTGGGCTCTTATATGAGAATGTAGCATAATTCAATATTCTTTTTTTTTCTTTTGACAGAGTGGACAGTGAGAGAGAGAGACAGAGAGAAAGGTCTTCCTTTGCCGTTGGTTCACCCTCCAATGGCCGCCGCGGCCGGCGCACCACGCTGATCTGAAGGCAGGAGCCAGGTGCTTATCCTGGTCTCCCATGGGGTTCAGGGTCCAAGCACTTGGGCCATCCTCCACTGCACTCCCTGGCCACAGCAGAGAGCTGGCCTGGAAGAGGGGCAACCAGGACAGAATCCGGTGCCCTGACTGGGACTAGAACCCAGTGTGCCGGCGCCGCAAGGCAGAGGATTAGCCTAGTGAGCCGCAGCGCCGGCACTTCAATATTTTTATGGTAAATGAAGTCTCAGAATAAACTATCTCCACAATGTATTTCAATGCACCTGTCTGCAGAGCTCCCCTGAGTCATGGGTGCCCTGAGGGAGCTTTTGACAGCTTGAGCCCCTCCCCAGGCTCATGCCTCTGTGTGGGCTTTCCCTCTGCTTTGGTGCAGGGACCTTCCAGAGGTAACGTACCTCTCTCAAGGCAGATTTGCTACCTGGAACATGAACACTGGACAGATTGGTTTACATTTATATCTGGGCTGTGGCTATATTGGTCACTTTCTGGTTTAATCACTCCCTGAACATCTATAACCTCCTCTTGTAAAATAAATAATGGAAACATGATTTTAACAGATTTATCTGTAGTTTACCATCAAAGGAGAATCAAATGCACTGAACTCCTAGAACCTTAAAGCTCTTAGCTTAGCATCTTTTCCATCTTTTTGATGTTTTGATCAAAGTGAGCTACCCTATCTCCAGGCTTAAATCCATTAGCAGAGGCATTACCAAGGAGATGTTCAAAACAGCACTGACTGAGTCCACAATCAGGACAGATATCACAATAAAAGTCAGTGACCGGCGTATCTAATGCCGCAGTTGTTCCTTTTCTAAAACCTGCCTAATCCCTCCACGTTGCTAGGAGAGGGAGAAAAATTGCATGTATACAAGGAAACAAAGAGGTCAGATGGAACCTAAAGGTACATATCAACGTAAGACTTAGGTGCTTGGATTTCATAAAGAAATGTTCAGTGCAGAAGTACTTACATCAGTACCCAATTTCTTCAGCATGTGGTGAAAGAAAGCATCAAGTTCCTTCTCTTCTATGTAACCTTTTTCTAAATGCAAGCAGATAAGGGTAAACAATAGATACTTGTATAGAATAACATATAACATTTAATGTTTATCTATATTTGTTTTTAATTGCAAAATTTATAAAATCCTCATGAATGCTATTTTATGCTATTTCAGTTTCCAAGAGGTGGATTTGAACAGTAAATACACATTCCAGAGTGAGTGCTTTAAGCTCGTTTATACTAACATTTCAGAAAGGAAAGCTATTAAATACATGAATTTTAACTAATGAATAGACATGAGCTTTAGAGCAGAATTCCATCCAAGGATTAGGGAGGCTTGAAAAAAACTTATCAGACATAACTATTGGATTCTAGTTTGCAGGGTTAAAACACGTTTTAGATGTTTTCTTATGGTAAGCAGTTCCACTTTATTTTCAAGTAGCTTTTTTCAGGGTAGGGGGAGAATCATTCTGAAAGTTAATGAAATTCATGTACAACAAATTTACTGAATAAAAATGAACGAATTTAGAGAACGCTGATGCTGGACAGCTGAGTTTCAGCCCATAATCTTGGAATATATATACCACTCCTCAGTCTATCTACAGCACAGAATTACACACACGACCCTATGCTTCCTAAGTTTCCAAGCATGCAGCAAACGTCTTCAAAGTACCCCATCAGGTACACTGCCTTATTACAGCAGGTGCACAGCCTTACCTGTGGGGTGGGGAAACTCTAAGTCTACACTGCATGAGCAGGTGGCTGACTGTACTCACCCTCTGTGTCCAAGCGGTGCCAGACTTGCCAGAAACCCGCAGCGTCCCAGCGCCCCTGAGTCAGCTTGCTGCCGCTGTCCATGGTGCTGAGCTTGAAGCCCGGCTCGGTATGCAGGGACCTGGACGGCTTTGGTCGCGACTCCCTGGGGTATTGTGAGGCGTCCTCGCTGCTTCTGCTCTGCAGAGCCGCTGGCACCTGTTGTGGGCGGGCAGGCGGGCAGTGCTCAGCAGTCCCAGCCCCGCCCTGCACGCTGAGCAACTCTGAGGCCCAGCTGTCTCAGCCTGGAGGAAGGAGCTGTCTCCGTTGTCGCCTTTTCCCTTTAACTCATCAGACTCAGAGAAAAATCCCCTTTATGCTTGACTAAAGGGGTTTTCTAGAGAGAACCGGCCTGTTTAAAGGGTTGGAAGAGGTGTCGGCATTAGGGTTCTTTGGAGCTGGTGATTTAGGTGAGAGGAGGGTAGGTGACCAGGTTAACTGCCATCATTGAACCCTGAGGGTTTAGGACATGCATGTTGCTGCACTTTAGTACACCATAAGGCCCTGAAGTACACAGAGATTCTGTGAGTTACTGTGGTTTAGGCAGCACAGAGAAATGCATACCAAGCCACACTCTGCCAGGAGGAGAGTCAGGAAAACATGGAGACTGCTGAGTTCTTAGAGAAAGGGCTTGGGCGACTGTGTTGGGATCCTAAGAGCCACATGAAAACCAATGCACAGAACCCATCTGAAGGAGCCCAGAGCTCCCTAATGACTGGAGCTGTTCAAAATACACCTGGATGCCTCATGAAAGAGTGAATGAATTCCATGGATGGCGTCTGACCATAGCCTAAGGAACTCTCACTGGGGAAGCTACACAAGGAGGTTGGCAGTAGGAACAGATACAGATCTTCTTTAAGTGGCAATATCTGTTAAAAGCACACAGGAATAGACATCTAAACTAGAGTACTAGGAGGAGCACGGCACTCGTGTTGACAGTTCTGGTCAGGATCTCTGCCCTGCCACTGACTGGCTTTGTGGCCTGGACCACACATTTGCAACCCTCTGAGCTGTGGTTTTCCCATCTATAAGATGAGGATTGTACTATGTGCTTTGTACAGTGGCTGTGAGCATCAGGGCAGCAATATACAATGAGTAATAGCTGCTGTGGTGTTGTGAGTGATGAGTGGTGACCGTATTGAAAAAAAAAAGTGATTTAGAGAAAAGCAAGGAAAGTCTGAGAAACCATCATAGACAAAAGGCAAGAGGTAACTTATCCTAGATGGGGTCCTGGAACTGAAAAAGGACGTTAGGTAAAAAAAGAATAAAATTTGAGTAACTATGGACTTCAGTTAATAATAATGAAAAGAATGGTTTAGAAGAAAACAGCTCTGTTTCAGGGCCCAACTTTTTCTCTAATAAGCCATGTGATGCTGGACAAGTTACCCAAAAGCAGCCTCACTTTCTTTGACTATAAAATGAGAACAGCATTTGCCTTGTATTGTTTTCTGAGAAGTTACAGGAAAGAATTCGTGAAAATACCCTAGCTCAGTACACACAGCGAACACTCAGGGTACGTGGTTGCTTAAGTGATGAGTCTTCCACTGAGACATACTTGGAAGGTGTGAAACAACCTCCAGGAGGAGTATCACTTGGGTTAAGTGAGGAACAACTATATCACCGCTAGTGGAAAGTGCTGAGTACAGAGACTGCAGAAAGGCACAGCAGGAGGAGAGGAAAGGGGGCCCGGTACCTGGTTATCCTGTGAGGCTCTGGGAGGTTGCCGTGTTGAGCAGACATGCTGTTTCATTCCCCAGATGGCCACAATGGCCAGAGCTGCACTGATCCAAAGCCAAGAGCCAGGAGCTTCTTCAGAGTCTCCCACGCAGATGCAGGGACCCAAGGACTTGGGCCATCTTCCACTGCTTTCCCAGGCCATGGCAGAGAGCTGGATCAGAAGAGTAGCAGCTGGGACTCGAACTGGTGCCCATATGGGATGCCAGCACTGCAGGCAGCAACTTTACCCACTATGCCACAGCGTCAGCCCCTGTTATAATTTTTTGAAGTTGTGCAAGTGAGTTCTAGGGAAAGAAGAAGGGTAGTTTAGTTACAGGAAGTTCTTTCATCTCAGGACTGGAGAAAAATGGAACTTGAGACAATTTCCAGGGGTCTGGCATCTGGAGCTCACTGGGGAGCCCCAATTTCCAAACAATATTACCACTGTTGGGGAAAGTGCTGGCTACAAAAATTGCAGAAAAACACAGGAGGAGAAGAGGGAAAGGGTGCCATCAAATTTCAATGACTTGTTCTCTTCTTTGTGTTCAAGTATCTTTTGTGGTTCTGAGAAGATACTGTGAAGGTACATTGCATTTTTTCACATAGCAGAGTTTTCCATTGATGAAAGTCACCCAAAGCTTGGCAGAGCAGACAGCCCGTGGGAAGGAGTGTTGAGACACTGCATCAACAGGAAATGCCTGTGAGACAGTCTCACTGGGAAGATTCTCTACCCTGCGGGTGAAGGGGTAGTGTTGGAGAATCACCATCAGCTGATTTACTGGAGACTCCTACCGTCCAACCAGAGGGCTCAGAGCAGAGCAAATTCTCAGTGCTATGGTTTAGATACGGCTTGGGTGTGCCCTCCAGGGGCTCACACTGGAATTTAATCCCCATTAGGAGATATTGAGAGACTGGACATTTAATCTATAGTGTGGGAAGGCAGGCTGCAGAAGGTGATAAGGATTTAGAAAGGTCATTGAGATGGAGACCCCATGATTGACTACTGGTGGTTTTATAAGAATGAAGAGAGGGCAGAAGACACAAGCAGACACACAGTCACACACGAGCTCCCTCTCTCTTCCCATATGACACCCTGCACCACCTTGAGACTCTGCTAGCAAGAAGAATGTCACCTGATGGGCACACCTGAACCTCCCAGTTAAGTCAACCTCTTTTTAAAATAAAATTAACCAACTCCAGGCATTTTGTTAAAGTAATAATAATAATAATTAAAAAACAGAGTAACACAGAAAGCAGCCAGAATCAACTTACAATCCATTAGGCAGTTTATAGATTAGCTTAGCCCCTTCCATAGAAATTCTGATTTAAATGGTTTGAAGTGAGGTCTTTACATTGGTATGTTTTTAAAAGCTCCCCTAGGGATTATATTAGAACCACGGAGCAGCCTTTTGTCTCTAAGTCTCCTGCTGCTCATTTTTCGGTCATGTTATTCGGGTATGGCTTTTCTGAAGGACAATCTGCAAAAGAAAAAGACAAGGAGTTGACGTCACTTTTTTATTACTACCCATCTTTTCAAAAAGAGACTACAATTATTACCGATACATCATTCTGGTCAGTTTTGACACCTGATGACTTAAACTAAAATGGGACTAAACCGAGTTGTTTTTTTCCTGCTGATTTCATTTTCCCCGGCAACCTTTTCCTGCTTTTCTCATTAGCATAGCTAACTGACGCTTAGTTGTAAGAAATAGCAGTAGTCTATAATTTGAAGCATTGCTAATTAACCTTGTTACATGCATTTAACTCTAAGCTAAAATATCTACATCTTTTACAAACGCAGAATACTCATATCTTTAATTACATAAACACTTCTTTTTATGGCCTCATCTCCTAATAGCTATTGGACATTTGGACATGGTAGGAGCATCCCAGACTATGTGATAGACCTTGGAATCCAAGCAGATAGCCTTGCTAATGCCACACCAGCTCTAAAGGGGAAAGGAAGTAGGCTACAAGAAACTGGACAATGTTTATCATAAGGAAATACTGGAAATGCAGTCAGTGTGTTTAGAATATGTATCTGCTACTGTTTCCTTTGCAATCACATGAGAAGTACAGGTTGTTTAGGAAGTATGGATCAAAAACTGAAAAGCAGAAAGAAGTTCCCCATGATTTTCCTACCCAAAGACAAGCAAAAATAACAACAGGTAGCTGTATTTCCTGACGGGCATTTTTCATATGAACAAAAAAATGGGTTATGCTTTTCTGCAATGTGCTTGTTTCACTCAATACTATGAACTGTGGCATATAACATTCTTCTATGCTGTCATTTTGACTAGGATATCATAATTTTTAAACTAACATCCTTTTTTTGGACTTCTAAATTGTCCCTAAGTTTTCACAGTCATAACCTATGTTGTAACAGCTAAATGTTTGCACATTCTCATCATTATTTCTTTGGAATAAAATGCTCTAGTACTAGACTAGACAACATATAACATTTTAAATCCACAATACACACCATTAAAGATGGCCTCTGGGCTGGGCACTGTGGTGCAGCAGGGTAAGCCATCACTTGCAGTGCCCACGTCTCACACGGGCACAGAGTGCCACACTTGCCTGTGAATATACATACATCACATTGCATACATGACTGTGTCTCATCCCTGCCAGCCCTAGAATTTCAGAGACATTATTATAGCCTGAGACGTTTCCTGCAACCCTTTGAAGATTTGAAATAAAATCAGCTGCTGAATTACAGCACAAGCAGTAACTACAGTTACCAGGTCGGCTGGGTGTTTAACTAACTGCTTGACTGCCACGTATTACAAATCCCCACTAGGAAGCAGCTGTTTTCAACTTGCCCCACACAGTGAAGTGTGAATGGGCAAAAGGAGGGGAGGGCCCAACTGATGGCAACTCTAGTGCTGAATTCAAATTATCCACCTGAGACTTCCACTGGCCGATATAAAAAGAATGTCTTTATTATATTTTTTAAAAATATATTTATCTATTTAAAAGGAAGTTACAGGGAGAGGGAGAGAGGGAGATGGAGGGGGGCAGAAAGAGAGGGCATATCTTTCATCCGTTAGCTCTCTCTCCAAATGCCCACAATGGCTAGAGCTGGCCGATCTGAAGCCAGGAGCCAGGAGCTTCAGCCAGGTCTTCCACATGGGTGCAGGGGCCCAAGAACTTGGGCCATTTTTCACTTCTTTCCCAGGCACTAGCAGGAAGCTGGATGGGAAGTAGAGCAGTCTGGGACTGGAGCCGGACCCCATTATGAGATGCCGGTGCCACAGGCAGCAGTTTAACTACGGCACCACAGCGCTGACCTGAAAAGCATTTCTAACACCATCTGAGTCAGTGAGTCAAGGCTGCTCATTGTCTAATTAGGGTGCTTATTGAATACAAAGATTACTGGTGCCTATCCAAGACCCGATGTATTAAAATCTGCAGAGCGAGGGTCTGGAGCCC